CAAAATACCAAAAGGACACACTGAACCTCAGGTCAAAGTTCATGCCACAGGAACAGGAACTCCAAACACAAAAGCCCAAGAAGGTATAAAAACCCACCACTCCCAGCTTCAAATGGTCAGCTTCCCCAGAGCCACATTTCTGTCTGGCTCTGCTCTTCAATAAACTATTACTATAACCTTCTTTCTAAAGCAGTCTCCATTTTATTTACTCCCGGCTTGGACTGGACCCTGATGAAAAATTTTCTTTCCAGTTTATCATGATCTGTGAACTAGGACAAAGATGCCTTTCTCCACTGTGCAATCTAGCAACCTTTCTTGAAATATTTTTATATCCATTTTCTATTCATCTCTAATTTTTTCATACAACACTACTTCAAGAGCAACATTGGTTATCGATTTCCTTTTGGTAGAAATTCAGTGGACTGATTGTCACCTGTAATGTCCTTCATAGCTCACAACTTGTGTGACTGCCTGTTCTCAATACTACCTGCCTAATTAGATCTTCCTGGATTATTGACTGCAATATGTTTTACATGAAGATCATCCAGAAGCTATAGCTGGTTCAAAATCCAGCAGTGCAAGCAATAAGTCACTTCTTGCTACACCCATTTCTCATGGTGAGGCTGCTATGTGGCTTCCAGGTGCTGATTGTTATATAAAACTCTTCATGGCATAGGACCTAGTTAACGCAGGGACCACTGTTCTCACATTGATTCTTCCTGCTTGGTTCATGTCAGACAGAATGGCTATGCTCCAGATCTGCTCAATTAAAGGATGCCATCTTGTGGGGCTCAGGAAGCATTCCTTCTCTGTTGCTGCTGCTGCCCTGTGGGACAACATCCCCAGAAATACAGATGGTGCCCTTAAGACCTAGCTTTGCTCCCAGGCCTGGGGTTAATATATTATATGTTAATGAGGATCCTGTTATGTTTTTATTGCTATCGTTGTTTTTAGTCCGGGCTGTCATGTTCTATTTTATGTTTTCGATCTTTTTAACTATTTTGTGTATTTGGATTTTGTAAGCTGCCCAGAGTCTACTAGAACAGCCAGCCACAATAAATTTAATTAAATAAATCTATACATACATGCATACATCTGCCTCCATATTCCTTCACTCAGGGAAGGCCATCTTCAAGGATCACAGCGACCTCACTTGCTGACTCCCCTTGTGGAACAGCATTTCCCCGAAAATTCCTACTCTGTTGATTTTCAGGAAAGGAATTAAAATGTGGTTTTCCAGCAGGCCTTGGGAGAGAATGTTGTGATGTTTTTCCCTTGGAGAGTAGAATTTGTCTGCTAAATTGATTATGTTCCCAGTAGTGTATGTTATAAATTGTTGCTAACATATTTTGATGTTATTATATTTTTATATTTTAACCTAACTTATGAACAGTGGAACATATGCCACGGAAACCTTTGCAAATGGAACAGCTTGTAAGTCCATTAAACTGAAATAAAAATAATTAAATGTTTCTCTTTCTAGATTGTACGCTCACAAAGTAAAATTAATGAGCAGTTTGCTCCTTATGGAACTTACTGACACAATATGTGGTTGTGTGCATTGCTTAGCACCTTTAACACCTTAAGACCGGATAAATTAATGGACTAGGCAAGAGTTTTCAGTCTCTATTTGTTAAACAGAACCTCCATATTTTATAAAAATCTGTCTGAATACTAAGCAATGGGAAGCAGAAGGACCAAAGGAACAATTGTTTATTTCATGCCCTATTCACAGATTTCCTAGAATTGTTCTTCCATTTTCAACAAAATATAGTTTTACACAATTCACTTTAGCAGCAGAATCTAGATTTCTTGTATAAATTTAGTGCTTTAGGTCAGTGTTTCTCAACTAAACAACTTAAGATGTGTGGACCTCAACTCCCAGAATTCTCCAGCCTAGGCATGGACTAGGACAGAGGTGTCAAACTGCCGACCTGCAGGCCGTGTCCACCCCAGCTCCGGTAATGCAAAAAAAGTCGTGATACGTCGCGACATGTCACGTGAAGCGGCGAGTTTGACACCTATGGACTAGGAAATTCTGGAAGTTGAAGTCCACATGTCTTAAAATTGCTGAGGCTGAGAAACACTGCTTTAGGTATAGGGAGGATCCTGATCAAACATTTACTAGTTAAGGAGGAAAAGCTATTTAATTTTATCCTAAGTGGTGGGAGTTGGACTGACAGTGAAATGAAATCGCTCCTCAGTGTAACTCAATATTGTGAAGTAATATAATAGTGTATGTTATTTTGCTCGTACACACAATTTATTGACATCTGGCAAACTGGAGATAGGTCAACTGAGTTGCAATGAAGGGGCAGAAAACTGAATTATAGGCTTCATTCGCTTGTATTTTTTCCCCTATTTAAGGTTAATTTTAAACAATACTGAGCTATTATCTTATCTACATTTTCCTGAGCATAAGATAAGATAAGCTATGTTAAGATAACCTTTATTGTCATTTTTTACTGTGGGCACAATGACACACATCAAAAATGAAATTGAATTGCCCGCTCTCAAAGTGAACACATCCATGACACACACCTAAACGTACTATATACAACATATACATACTATACACAACTTTATTCATGCATTCCATGGGAAAGTTTAACTTATATGGTAGGGCTCAATGACAACAAATGAACCTGGCAAGAATTCCTATTGATGTTAGCCCATTTTGTTTAATGCTAGGGCTTCTCCAGACTGGGTGGCCACCAAAACGCCTTGATCTGATGATCACTTGGCCCAAAGAGCCACAAAAATGGCTGCTCAACTATTCTGATATCTTGAAGAAAGCAGACCCAGAAGGCACCTAATCCAGTTGCCAAGTGTCTGAATTTTGATTATGTGACCATGGGGATGCTGCAATGGTCGTAAGGGTGAAACTGGCCATAAGTCATTTTTTTCATTGCTCTTGTAAATTTGAACGGTCACTAAAATGTTGTAAGTCAAGGACTACCTGTACTTATTCTTTTATTTCTTTTCTGGGTGATGAATAAGGGGAAAAATGGTTGGTGGGGGCAGCAGGAGCCAACCCTTCTCTGGAGCAGGACATGGCAGTTGGTTCCCATGGACCCAAAACACCCTGTACAACAGCAACACTTCAATACCCTCACCTCAGCATTTGCTCTGGAGAAGCAACTAAAAAACAAGTTAATTGGCTCCACTGTAGAAATGTGCTTAAAGTGCCACTGTTGGGATATAGAAGTAAAGAACTGGACAGCCCAGGGTCAAAGATGACACAGTGAAACCTACCTGAGTCCAACTGCTTACACTCGCTGGACAGAATCTTACCAAACTTAAGCTATAACTTTCTTACCTGACTTTATCCTGAGATGTAACAACCCCGAATCTCGTACCCTCCCCCTCCCCTGGGACTGCACCGTCTCTTAATTTGGGCTTCTCTGTGGAACATATTGCCCAAGAAAGCTCTGTGCTGTCAAGACTTCCCCTCCACTGCTTCTCCAGGTGCTCATTCCATCACAAGTAATGATCTCTACTTTTAGTCAGCACAATCTCTGTGGTTTTTTAGGTCGATCAATGTGTTTTCTGGCTTGATGGGCTGGGGGGGGAGAGGGGATGGTTCTGTGTGAGTGGCAGGTGCGTGGGCTGTTCCAAATGGGCCATGGCCCAGTAGTTGGGGACCCCTTTTAGGCGACTTAGCGTAATATGTAAATCTTGTCACAGCATTTACTGCATGTTCACAATCCAAATCCACCAAGTATTTCTCTAAGACGATAATGATGACTGTATTTGTTAAGGCGATCCGACTCCAAGACTTATAAGCGCCAAATAGGGTAGAGCAAAATACAACAAAACAAAACAGCTAAAGTATTATCCAACCGCTAACTTCAACAAAGCTAAAGTCCAAAGGCTCACTGGAATAGCATCGATTGAACCGACTTTCTAATAAATAAACAAGGAGAGTTACAGCCACCCATATTTCTGGGATAAGGTATTCCATCAAGTCGGCACCATTACCATTACCTGTTCATCCAGGCCATAAAGCCTACGAGAATACATGCCAATATATTCTTTTGTGTATTCCTCATTTGTAAGCCACGAATGGGCAGCTGTAGAGAAGGGCCCATGGTCAGGGGTTGGTAGAAATTGTGGTCTGGGTTACAGCGGGGTTTAAATATATATAACTTTTTTTAAACTACCAAGAGTGACTACATATCACAAAGTGTCTTACAAAAAGTTAGATTTTAAATCACTTCGGGCAAAACCGCTTTGAATTCTCCAAGAAAGAATATAAAGGGAGGACATGTGGTGGTTTCAAATATAAAATATATTAGTGTAGATACGATATAAATTCTTATTAAAAGAATGGGCAGAAAAACGACCTCAAAGAACAATCAACGAGTCTAGCAAACTGTGCTACAATCGCCGTCTTTCTGTTGTCCTCAACTTGCCCGGACAACTTTTTAAAAGCCTTTCAGTAGATTCCCCGGCGGACTATGGTTCTGCCATCTTTCAAAAGAGCCGCCACGGCTTCAACGCCTGGCCTTCGACGCCACCATGAGCAAGTCGCCCTTTGGATTCATTTGCCCGTAGCCACAATGGCGGCCGGGACAGACCGCGTTCAAACAGCGAAGGAAAGCAAAAAAAAAAAAAAAAAAAAAAGGCAAAAAACTCAACCCTCCACCTCTTTTAAGATGGCCGCCCCCGCCCCCCCCCCCGTCTTCACCGCCAGCGATCAAGAAGGCCTCGCGAATCCCACGGCGGGCAATCCAGCCGCGAGCCGGAGCCCAACTTCGCCCCCGTCGCTTAGTTTCCACCAATGAGAAACCCCCGTCGGCTTGCGCTGGGTCGAAACGGCGAGATTCCGTTGCCTGCCCCGTCAAAAGCAACAGCCCAAGCAGCCAATGAGTTTTTAGCGTCGGGAAGGAGTCGAGGGCGGAGCCTTTTAGCGCCGCCATTTTGTGAGTCTATATAACACGTAGCCGTTGGATCCGCTCCTGCTACTCCAGCGCCTGCACTCCGCTTCCCTTCGGGTTGCCTTCGTGTGCCATGGACGGGTAAGCGATAACGAGAGCGTGGCATGGCGGACGGGGGGGGGGATGGCGTAACTTGTGAGGTGATATTGTTTCGGGAGGGCTTACCTGGCCGGGTCTCGTTAACTGAGGCGAGGGAGCGGCCGCTCTCCGTCCAGCGTGAGAGAACTCGCCGGACGCGGCTGTGGGTGGGTGTGCAAGGGAGACAGAAACTGGGCCACTCGCACCGGGGCAAAAACTTTGGCCGACTTCTGGAAGCAGAATTGAGAAGACCGGGGGAATACACGTACCGCCGTCCCAGGACAGCCCCCCTCCCCCCCTTTTTTTTTTCTCTCTCTACCGGAATTTGCCCGTCCTTTTTAAAAGTTCTGCGCCGGCGCCGCCATGGCTCCCCCTCCCTTCCTCGCTCTCGTGCTGCGCGCGCACGCTCCCGGCCCTCCCTGGACGTTCTCTAAAACAATCCTCCACCCGCGCGCCGCTTCGCTCGCGCGCGCGCGCCCTAAATCCGGCTGCCCGCCGCCGATATTTTGCGCCTCGAGTTCTGTCTGCAGCCCTTTCCGCCTATCATTTCCGGCACATGGTTTATGGTTTTCCTCAACCTGGTTTTCCCCCCCACACACACCTCGCCCCCCGTTGCTCTAATTCAAGAATGTGCTCGGTGAGGGAAGCTCGTATAGTTGTCGACCTGGGGTGTGCCGGGTTGGAGTAAACTGCCGCGCGGCCTTTGCTCCATCTCCTCCCCTCCTGCGCTTTTACTCAAAAAGTCCCAAATGCGTGACTTGCTCAACATTCCGGATATGAACGCGCCCGTGCGTCCTCGCCCCTTTCCTCGCTTCTCCATTTTTTTTTTTAATTAACTCTCAAGGTAGTTCCTGCTGGGCTCGGCTGCCTCGTGCTCGCTTCTCTGGCCACGCCCCCTTCCCACATTTGGCCTCCTTCGGTCGCCCGGATATTAATTAGCCTAAGGCAGGGGTAGGCAGCCTTGGCTCTTTTATGACTCGTGGACTTCAACTCCCAGAATTCCTGAGCCAGCATGGCTCAGCTTGGAAACCTCTCCCTTTCCCCTCAGCATGGCTGGCTCAGGAATTCTGGGAGTTGAAGTCCACGAGTCACAAAAGAGCCAAGGTTGCCTTCCCCTGGCCTAAGGGCTTTCTTTTCTGCCTCCGCCCTAATCCCACTCTTGCTTCTCTTCGACTTAAAGACAAAATAATTTCGGAGTGGGGAGACTTAAAACACGTGCATGAAAGAAAATAAAGGTATATAGTCCTTTACGCGGTTGATGGTTGATGTACTGAAGGGTGACCAAAAAGTTGGAGGCATCTAAGAAAATGGTGTTTGAGTTGGAATTTTTTAAAAGATGGTGTGATGGTTTTGACACAGTTGGGAGATCGAAGACGTTTAGCGTAAAGAGAGTTGTGGAGGGAAGATAAATGATGGGGGGGAGATAAAGAGAAAATTAATAAGCCTTCCTTTCTAATTATCTCTTAATGTTCAGAGATGCAATTCCTGATGATGTGATGATCTGTATTCAGATCTAATGGTTTTTATTCCATGACACCCATCTTTTAAATTTGATTTACATTTGAGTCCTAGATCCCTTCATTTGCCTTGTTTCAAGTATTTTCTAATCAGAGTGAAACCTAGTATGTATCCTTCTCCCTTCAGTGCAGTTCCCTATCATACCTTGATTCAAAGAATTTAATTTTGCTCATTAAACCAAAAGGCTTAAGAGCAATTAATGATTGTAACATGACAAGACAGTTCTGTAGTGTAGCCTTCAAGTTTACGGTTCATTTTAAAAAACGAAACTTTTGTAAATAAGGAAACAAGTTACATATCAGTTTGTACTATTAAGATCAGCTCAGGTATAAATAGCTAATGAATCATTATCTACCAGGTAATAGTTGCAGAATACCAAAAGCAAATAGGATCAACTAATATTGAATATTTAAAAAACCCAACTGAAATTTCTGACCCCATAGCAGAATATTTTAAAGAGATCTGTGGGACACCTGGAAAACTATAAGCTGGGTACTTCTAAGCAAACTGTTAGTAATGAAAAAAAATAACTAAACACATGGTGAAGAAACATTTTTAAAAGAAAATCCTCATGGATTCCATAAGGATAAACTGTTCCATTATTTGAATGTATCAGCAACACTTTTCAATATGCTGTACTTGGGTTTTCAGAAAGTCTTTGATGAAGTTCTTCATTAAGGGCTCTTGAGTAAACATAGTAGTCTATTGATATTCTTACCTCTTAGATGCAACATACCTCTAAATTCAATTTCAGGGAAACAGCAACTGGAAGGAAATATATCTTCATCTCCTAATGTAAACATCTCTTTGGCTACATTGTAAAATAAAAGGAGGACTAAGATGGACCTTGGCCTAATCCATCAAGACTATTCTTGCAAATACTCCGGTTTTGCTTCTTTTCTTTATTTACTCCGAACCTTTGTACTGGTAACTGAGTTCAGAATCTAGACTTGAAATATATTTAAAAATTGTGATCTTCTTTGCTGTTGATATCTTTAAAAGCTATTTCATGGAATAGTAATATTTCCCCTTATTTCATTACATTTATTTTATACTTGAAGTTGTAGCCTTTTATCTTCCTTTTTGTGATGTGGTCAGAACTATATCTTAGAAATACATTCTCATCCTTGTGTCATCAACCTTCAGAAGAGAAGGCAAGTGATAAAATGCAGATAGTGCAAAAATCCACTTACCAACTTGTATAATATATTGAGATGCAGTTATAAAAGAGTGAACTTTTGATGTTATACCATATGTTTTGTCATTTTAGTGTCACCTTGACTAGTTGCAGAAACTGCTCTACATCCATCCCATTTTTCATATATCAGGCATTTGTTATTTTTGTCTGTTCATTGTGAACCTGGTCAAGTTTTTAAATAGAACTTTTTTGTTTGATGACTGATATACCAGATAAGCTGGACAAAAGTTGTCAAAACTCTGAATGATGGGCAAAATTATATGTATTATTTGTAAATAATTGAACAGCAAGTACTATACTTTGTTTCTTCATTTGCAAAGCATAGTTACAGAAAAAAATCCCTCTCTTTAACTTTTCTCAATCCAGTTTTGGAATCAAGTTTGGCCAGTCTCCTCTTTCCTTAAAAAATTTTTTTTAGCAGGCTAGTGTACTGTAATTCTTCATTTATGCTTCCCTTAGAAAGCTTTTTTTTAATGCCAAGAAATGTTTTCACTTTTCAGTTAATTGTAGATGTTCTTGGTGAGAACTTCATCATTTCTTCCTTCTGTAAACCTAGAAGAATAAAATGCTTCCTGTTACATTTTGCATGAGAATAAAGAATTTCCCTGCAGGCTTTAATGGGTGGGATTGTTATCTGGGTGTGGAGATTAGAGGTAGCTTTGTTTTTTATCTAAGCTGTTTAAAGATGATCTTGAATAATAAAAAGTTTAGAAATTTAACTTAGGAGGAGTTACAATGTTTGCATGGACCTTAAGAGGCAAATGATACACTGTGATGTCATCTTGTATAATGGCATTTGTATAATAATGTCACATCATGTGAGTTGCCATTTTGGAATTATTACGTGGTATTAACTGCCATTATTACAAAGTTGGAAGGGACCTTGGAGATATTCTATCTGCTCAAGCAGGAGACCCTATACCATGTTAGACAAATGGTTGTCCAACATGTAATAAATACTACATATTATTTATTTTAGCTAATCTGTCAGGCCAGCCAATATTATTATCTCTGAAAGTATAAGAAATAATTACTTGAAAAACCTAAAGCCTTTTATGCAGCCTTTGTCCCCCCCCCCCAATGTATTTCTTTGTCCTTGTGACTACTACTTTAGCTTCATTCACAGAAATTCTTATATGCAGTGCTGATGCTGGGAAAGGGGTGTGTAATATGTGCATGCAGGGACAGTGTCAATTCCCTTAGGGCTGCCCTAGCTGCCAAGAGAACATAGGATCTGTTGAAACTGTTGTAGGCTTCGCAATGACGGCTGATGAGTTCATTAAATCCAGGGATTAAAAAAAACCTTACTTGATGCATAAGATTTAAAACAAAGGGTGTAACCTTGTTATTTAGTCTTGAAAATCAGGTTTTAGATGTAGTTATACATCTGCAGGAACAATTAACCTTGTACTACCATAAACCTTAATTTGATGTGGGAGGCATTGCCATAATCAAAAGCCTACTATATAAAGTTGGGTGGAGTATTTTTTCTCAAGCTTAATAGAATTTGTTTCATTTGGTTTGTCCTCTAACTTGTTTTAAGCATGTGGAGATAAATGTCATGTGGCTTTTATGCATATGTGCAATATGTATATTATATGTATGTGCAATATTGTATATTTGGCTTGAATATAGTCTGAATATTGTATCACATTCTTAGTAAGAGCAGTTTTTGTGGTATTTGTAGTAGACTTATTGGGAGAGATGTATCTTCCTATGAATTAAATTTCTGATTACTTTTTGGTGTCCAGCACTATTGTAAGCATGCATTGTCTGCTAGGAATTTCACATTTTAACCTTCATTTCACTTTGTTTTATTTCACATATTTTTGATGTATACATGTAAATTGGCTAACTATGTAATCTTTCTTTTTTTACAGCATTGTCCAAGATATAACAGTTGGTACAAAGGTAGGTGTTTTTAATCCCCTCATTGTTTCAGCAACTGCATGTTGTAAACCATTCTCACAGAACTAAGCTGTTTTAAGACTTAGGTCTCTGAATGTTAATGAAATGAGATTTCCATTGTACTTATCACATTGGTATTGTGTGATGCTTTTTTTGGGAGGGGGCTGCCATACTCGGGGGAACAGGTTCCTTGAAGCCATCTTGGAAAGATTGCTTAATACCACACAGATTTTTTTGGAAAGCAACTTCCCCTCTCATCCAATCTTCTAGACTATAAAATTTCAAAAGAAAATATTACATTCTTTGCTGTGTATGGAGAGTAATAGTGAAATTGTAGAGGAACATGCCAGAATTGTGTGAACTCGAGAATGCTTCAGGGATATTTGGTGATATGGAAAAGCGGTATTTGACAGATTTGTGCAAAGAAGGTAACTCAGTTTGATATTCTAAAAAGTATTAGATCAGTTCTGCTTGTGGGAAACAATTTTTTGAAGCTTTTAGGTTTCCTCAATGCATATTGAGAAGTCTTTGTTGAAAGGCTGGTACTTAATTAAAAACTAGTCAAACATCTTTGAATAATACAAAACATGACTATTCAGTCTGGATATTTTGGTCCTAGATTTATCACCATTAATTATAGAGATGACAATGATGAATAAACACCTATCAGCAAATTAATGAGAAATAGGTGTTCTGAGAATGCATCCCATCTCTTAGCTGTGAGACATTGTCGTCTTTTTAATATGTTGCTATCTATGAAATGTGAATCTTCTAGTCAGCAAGATTTCCAGTCAGTTAAATTTATCAGAATTATATTCAAATAGGTAAGCGGGAAGGAAAGGATGATGTGATTAAAATCTGAGTTGTGCAGAAAAGTAATTTTGAAAATTATGGCATACTGGTTATGTTGAAGGCTGCCTGAAGTCTAAAATACTTGAAATATTTGAGATGCCTCAGTTTTTTTGTAATCGATTAAAGCTGTTTTTTTAGCTGTTGAAAAACTTGTTTTACTTAAAGTATTTCTCAAGTGCTATTGTTGCTACAGTATTGATAATTCAAGAAATATCAATTTTAAGAATTATTTAAGAATTTTAAGAATTAAAAATCCAACAAGTAAAATAATAAACAACTTGGATTGCAGAAGAAGAGCAGCAAAGATAAAAGATTTGAAGGAAACTACGTATGTTTAGCCTAATGAAGAGAAGGTTTAGGGATGACACAGTAGCTAATACTTGGAAGGATTGTCACAGGGAAGAGGGGCAGAATTTGTTCTCCAAAGCATCTGAAGGCAGGACAAGAAGCAATGGATGGAAGTTCCTCAGAGCAACATCCAATCTGGAACTAAGGAGAAATTTCCTGATTGAATAATCAGTGGACCAGCTTGCCTCCCACCTTGGGCAGGAGGTTGGACTAAGACTTTCTGGTCCTAGGATTCTCACCTAAGACTTGGATAAAGTATATTTGTCAAGGTTCCCGATCAATGAGACCAGATAAATCAGAACTCCCAGGCAAGAAAATTCCTCAAAGAACATGTTTATTGGATACATAATATTGGCAGGTTCAAAAGTGAAACCTAATCTAAACTTTTGCTACAAGAATCTAATACAATGTAACAATTCCCACCCATGCTATCCAATAGAACACCTTGGTGGGCTTTCTGACTCAACAATCCTCTGCCTTCCCTCCGGCATGGGAATGACCTTGGTTCCCGCAAGAGTTGCTCATGTTTAGACTACCAGAAATACCATCTTGCCCCTCCCCTTCTTGTGGCAACCTAGAACGGAAAAAAATATGGCTGCAGCCAGGTTCGTTGTAGAGTTGACAATATTATTATAAAATTGTGCCTCATATCAGCTTTACCCAAGGAAAATATATGACTTGGCATGAAATTTATGCCCAACTCCCTCGTCACATAAATATCTGTATTACTACAGAAGTAGTGCAAGCTCTGTAATGGGCTTCATTATGCTCTGCTTTGACCTTGTTAGAGAGCAGTTCACTCTGTCAGGCTAGATAGACCTACTGTTGTACAGAGACTAGGATCTTTGTCATGGAAACGGCAAATATGGCTTCAGGCCACAAGCCAAGAATGTCAGTGGAGACATTCCAGGTCTTAATGTACATCTTCAGTTCTATTACATGCTGGCTCTTGGTGGGCTTGCTCTAACAGGCTTTATCACATATGTGAGCCACATGTGTTGACATAAAGAAATATTAGCTAATGCTTCTCAGTTTAAAAAAAATATGGAAAGTATGTGGAGTATGCATCTTTGTCAGTTTTCTGGAAAAATTAACCCTTTAATTCAACAAGACAACAAGAACGTATGATTATTTAAACCTAGGCTTAAGCATTTGACTGCTGTATTCACATACCAACTGCTAGTGAATTGTATTTTAGGGAGCCACTTTGTGTTAATTGGCTGGTGTTAGAATTTTAATTCTTATTAGCCACTCCAGCTTTATTTGTAAGGTGGGTAGCCATATCAATTTTACATACATACATACATACATACATACATACATACATACATACATACATACATACAAATATGTGTGTGCATGTCTGCTATGCCCAAATATATAAACTCTATTATGGCATCATGTGCTGGGCTAGTTCATATGAAATGCCGAATCAAACTATTCTAGCCAGTACTTTGTGTAAACCCAGTTGTTGCATTGCAAATTAAGGAGCATTTAGATCATAGTTCTCTTCCAGAATCTGAAGGGTTTTTTTTTTCTGTTGTATTATCTGCCGCAATATTTCTTACTGTGTTTTTACATAGTGTATTATGCATGGTACAGCCTTATTAATGTGTTTTGTAATTTTAGAAGCAAACTATAACAGTTTGGTCACACAAAGTAAATCAAAGTTTTAAAATAATGTTTGTGTTTTAGATTCTGAAAAATGAAAATCACAATAGCTATTGTGGCAGAAAATATTGATGTCCTCCAACCAAAAGTATTTGTCCTATTTGTACTCTTATCAGTGTGGAGAAAACAGTTTCTGGAAAGTTGTGCTAATAGGTTTCAATAAGCAGTAAATGTTAAATCGGGTACAGGTAGTCCTCGTTTCACAATTGCCTCAGAGAGTGAACTTTTGCATTTACAGATGTGATGAAAAAGTAACTTTGATGATCATTCCTCACATTTACAAACTCCACAGGTCTGTAAGCAAAGGAATGATAAGTAAGATCATAAGCATAGTTGGGGTTTTACTTAGCAACTGCTTCATTTTAACAAGTGAGTTACCAGTCCCAATTGTGTTGCTAAACAAGGACTGCCTGTGTCTTGTTTTAAATACAACAGTTAGGATCACATTTTCTGATAATTTAGCCTTCAAATCCCTGAAGATTAACAAGGATCGAAGAAAGGTATCGTCGTCTCAATAAGTGGCTAAGAGTTGATAAACAGGTATCAGGAATGCTCTGGTCAGCAGTAGTTCTGATAATTCCTGAAAATTTGTTTATTTTTAAGTGAAGCAAGTTTTATGTTTGTGTGAACTTCTACAAATAGACCAAGGCCAAGTGTTTATGCTGGAGCCCTGCTGCTCCCTTGTTATTTTGGGGTGGGGTGGAGTGTTGCCATAATTGAACCAATTAGAGGCTGAAATTAGTTTTTATAGTTTCATGTATAACTGCCAATCGTTTGATTCAAAGGTTCGGTGAGATAAGAGTATCTCCACATCTATCTTTGCCTATTCTTTATGATATCAAAACAGGCATCCTGTTTGGGCTCTAGCAACACAATGCTTCCTTTTCCAATATTATCCAGTGGTACATTTATTAAGTGGAACAGCTGGAAACTTCAACTGAGAGACTAACTAGACTCTAGATGAATTTACATTGTGCTATTACACTTTATTTTGTCACAGTTTGTTGAATATTTTGTAGTCTGATTTGTAAAAACCAAACTTTTAACTGTATAAATGTGCAGGAATATGTAAGCAAACTTAGGCAAGAGATTCTGTGTTCACTGTAATGAAATAAAAGCATTAAAACTTGGTTTGGATGAGAATCTTGCAGTGCAGTCAATGCACTTGTAAATGTTGGCAGCTGTAAACCTGGGTGTGGAGTTCTGTATCAGACAAGAAAGACTGCATAACTGACTATTCTGAATCCAAGAACTCTTGAGCCATTTGAAAGCCCCACCCTTCAGATCCATTCAGAGTAGAGGTTTATTTTATGACTTGTCTCTAATAGTAGCTGGAAGAAGTCTGAGAAGGCTAAGAAGAGCAATACAGCAGAAGATAGCTGTGCTTTTGACCAGTCATCAGATCTTTTTGAAAGACAGACAAAAATTGATTGACAGCTTAGGAACCCAACAGGACTAACAGTTGAAGAGGTGGGGAGGGAACCTAATGTCTTCCGGATTTGCTGAACAAAAATTGCAGAATTCCCAGGCACCAACAATAGTATAAAGGTGTATGGAAGTTCTAACATATTATGAAGGGCATCAGTTCTATCTCTTGTTTAAAATTGATCTACCTCTTTACTTTCAAGTAATAAATGCTATGCCTCTTAAGTTTATTCTATATATTTTATAACTAAACAATAAAGGTGGGGAAGGTGATCCAACATTATTTAGTCTGTATATTAGAATTTCAGAAGATGCCTTGGCTTAACTAGAGATAGTAGAGACCATATTTCAATCTAAAATCATTGGAGGTAAGTTTTCTAATCATCCAAGGAATTCCAGAATCATTGATGGATCCAACCTAGTCTGCTTGCAGAATACAGTTTATAATAGTAGCATATATTTTTATAGGAAGAATATATATACCAGTCATGGCGAACCTTTTAGAGACTTGAGTGCCCAAACTGCAACCCAAAACCCACTTATGCATTGTCGAGTGCTGGGTGGGTGTGGTCCATTGGGTGGGCATGGCTGCTGTGGTAACGGCAGACTGGGTGGGACTAAAAAGTTCAATCAATTCAAACTTTGCAAGATCTTTTTTTTTGTGAGAAGTTGAAATTGACTGATTGAATCTTTTTTTTTTTTTTTGCACACAGCAGCAGAGGCCTAAAGCGAAAAGGTTTTATAAAATCCAGCTGAAGGCCTAGGACTGGGGCGACGGCGCACGTGCCCACAGAGAGGGCTCTGAGTGCCGCCTCTGGCACATGTGCCATAGGTTCGCCACCACTGATATATACTTTTATAAGAAGAAATACTGTGTGTGGGAGAGAGAGAATGAATGAATTAGGGATACCTGTTCTCTGAATTGAAGCAAAGGTTTTATTCATATTCCTCAAATTTGCTTACCTAACTTAGAAGGTATTTCAGTTAACTGGAGAATATTAATCATGTGTTAATTGTGTGTCATAAAAGACAGGATATTTAAGTTGCTGAAAGATTTGAAAGAAGTATAACTAGCCAGGATTCCTTTTGTGTCCACATTGAAAATCTGAGACAAAAAATATATAGTTATGAATAATAAAAGAGAGGTCTGATTTAAAAATGGTTAAGCCATCTTGTTCCTCATAGCCAACATGGCTATGATAAAAAAAAACCCAACTAAGCTTCATTAGGCATGGTTAGTACTGGAACTGGGAATCAAGAAAATGTAAGGTGTACAGGCTTAGAGAGGAAATGGGAAGAGGGGAGATATGTAGGAAGAAGGCAGTAATAAATGGTTTCTGTATTTTTAACCAAGCAAAACAGCATGATGTGTCCATGAAGTTACGGTGAATTGAGTTAAAGAAGGTTTCTTATATTCTTTCTAAAGTTTGGATGCTTGCAGAGGAAAGATGTCATATTGTAGCATAAAATTAATTCATAGGATTGAGCATTTCTGTTATAATAGAACTCACTTTTTATTTTTTATTTTTGCTTTAATAACGATACTGAAAAAAATTATATAAAAGTAATTTAGCCTAGGTTTTTATTAAAATTTGAAATATATCTTTTTCACTGCAGTATGGACTTGTTATCTGAGGCCAATAAATGGTGCCCACATGGTCAGGTGCTTCCAGCTTATTTGTCCAGCTGTCCTGAAATATTGTAAACAATCACAAGCATTTAATAAATGTGTAAATCAGCACTTTTCTATAATAACTAGAGATATTCATGGAATGGAAACATTGTTTTCTTTCAAACTTGGAGCAAATCACTGCATTCCATAAGTTCTGGGATCAGCCCTAGCTTGGCAGAACTGAAACCTGGATCATTTTCAGGTTTCATATCAAAATTCAGACACTGGTAGGTCAAGGCTGGAGTGCCCTGCACCCTCCCCCATCTGAGCTGCTTTCTCCATGGCCCAGACTGGTGGCTTGCCTACCCCCCCAAATTTCCTAGCACTTACTTTTTGTTCCCTTTTTTCAGGCAATGGTGATATTTCAGTGCTGTATACGCTACTAGCCTCACCTTCAAGCTTCCCAGCAGCTTCCCTGCCACCAGCCGATAAAGATAACCCATTTTAACTCTGATTTCTTTTTAGAGATACAGGTAGTCTTGACTTACAGCCATTTGTTTAGTGATCATTCGAAGTTACAACGGCACTGAAAAAAGTGACTTATAGCCATTGCAGTATCCCCATGGTCACGTGATCAAAATTCGGACATTATGATGGTTGCAGTGTTCCTGGGTCACGTGATCACCTTTTGCGACCTTCTGACAAGCAAAATCAATGGGGAAGTCAGATTCACTTTAATAACCATGTTACATACTTAACGATTGTGGCAAGAAAGGTCGTAAAATGGAGGCAAAACTCACTTGGCTGTCTTGTTTAGCAATGGAAATTTTGGCTCAATTTTGGTAGTAAGTCGAGGACTTACCTGTATACAGTGCAGATTTTAACTAGTTGAGTGGATTACTTACTATACATCATAACTATATTTTGGAATGCTGCTGGGGTGATGGGTTTAAATGGAACTTTCATATAGAAATCATATGTGCCAATGGGGGCAGGATATACCATGCTGGGACATGTGATGGCTGAGCAAAAGAAAGCTACTGGGGGCTACTGAGTGAAAAGTGATGTGACCCACTTCAATTTAGTTTTTCATCTTCGTCATACAGTACAGATATATTCAGATCATAACATTCAGTTTAGTCCCCAATTTGGATAAATGTGTTTTGGTTTGATAATGGACATGGGGCAAACTGGTTGACATAAAAAAAATCTTTCAGCAAAACCCAGTATTTTGCAGAGCTTGGTTATGTATGTAGGCATTACTAAATCACTATTACTGAAAAAGCAAATGGGAATTAGTATGGGCAGGCGGAATCCTGCCATTTATTCATTCAACATGCTCATCCAAAGATGCTATGATTAGAGAGCTCCAATACATCTAGTAACAGGATAAAAGACCGTTAGTCAAGAACTTTCCTAGTTCCCCTTACCCGTCTTCTAACTATAATGCTTTCTCAAATGAAGACTGCCTAGAGAAATAATACTATAATATTATTTTTGCAAACATGCAGCATGTACTTTCTAAGCTTCAGCTGCAACCTGATTGACTATATCAAGCTTTGTCCAAATTTCTGCCAAATTGAATAGGTATTCCTCCCTCTCTTACAATAAGAGGTGGATAATGCTGAGCTTTCTGCCTGAGATAAGCTTGAGCTAAAAAATGTTGCCAGACTCATTTGCACGAGAAGATATTTTTCCCTGAGCCTTCATATCAATACAGCAGGTAGATGTGATTTGTTAATTTTATAGTGCAGCCTGAGCCTTTGCAAGTCACCGTGCCCCATAAATGCCTACCTTCCCCCTTTTCTGTCACCTTTGGGGCAAAAGATGCTGCTTTTGAAAAATGCGTTTTAAGAAAGAGCTCAATTTCACATGCTTGAATTGGCCTGCTGTTCATCTAAGAATCTATTTCCTTTTTTTTCATATGGGAGTAGTATCCCACTATTACATTAATATTTCACTCAAAGCAAAATTGTTTCAAAGTGGATTAAACTGCAATTCTTGACTTGACCTTCATGTTGCAAACCCAAGCTATGGCTCTCTCTGTAGTTCCCTTGCTTTAAGAGAGGAAGGCTGCAGCCCAAACAAGCATTCAAATAAATTGTTTCTTTTCTTATATTTTCAGAATATAAATCTTACTCTTGGTTTATGGGCACTGTTGGAGTTGCTCTGTTCCTTGCTTGTATGGTTCTTAACATGTCGTTGTTGCTGATTCCATTGCGTAGGGCTAAGTGGAAAATCAAGCTTTCCCTTTACTTTCTCCACCCATCTCAGTTTCTCTACCACTTTTAATTCTTGTTTTCATAGCACCTGAATAAAAATTAGCAAAGTGCTGTCAACTTACTTTTTTTCCCTTTCTGTTTCTCTTTCAGCGGGGATCTGACGAACTTTTTTCTACTTGTGTCACTAACGGACCCTTTATCATGAGCAGCAACTCTGCTTCTGCAGGTAACACTGATAGCCCCAAGAATTTAACATTTCTTTAGCATTTACTTGCCAGGAGAGATTGACCTCCAAAGCAACCTGAATACTTATTCCAATCAGTTAGGTAGCAATTGGCTCCAAAGGAGCTTTTGCTGTCATTTATTAAAGGGTTTCAGCAGTCTTAAAGTTCCATAGTGCTGATACCTGAAATTATGCCTCAAGCTTTATATAAATGATTAATGCTGATGAAATATTTTGCATAGCTTAGAAAAACAAATAAAGTCCATCTGCGGGGGGGAAAAGAAATTATCGCAAAATGGATTTGTCCTCATGTAAGGGTTATTTTCTGAATATGTGACACAACGCTGGTAAGATCACTGTATAAAGACTATTTTCCAATGTCTGCAATAGTATTTGTTTGAAGCGTACTGGGTGTTTTTATTTTGACTTTGTTCTCCTGACCTTCACTGTTGTGCCTACAGTCTGTTTCATCAGAGTTCCCTCTTAAGACTAGCTTTTTGTGTATTCTGTAGCAAACCTGTTGCTGCAAAATGATTTTCTTCTGAATATTTAACCCTGTTGTTTTATAAAGCCAGTCAATATTTACTAGTCTGGCATTATTTATTTGTTAAACTTAGGGGATTGCCCAACACTGGGATGCTTACACTTTAAAAGATAGAAAACAAAAAAAAATGTCTGGACACAGCATACTCCAAATAATACAAAACACAACCAATAGCAGTTCTACAATGTTCTTAACCCAAGACCAGGTTTTGAAAGACATCTGAAAAATCGGTGGGGGGGTGTCCAGAAAGTAGGTTTTATGACAGAGAACACACTTTCTAGAGCCTGATGGATGGCATCAAGCTTGCCAGCTCTGCCTGATCTTGCCAGTTAGGCAGAAACCATGGGAGTAGATGGTCTCCCAAATACCTTCACACAGTGTCCTGAAGGGCTTTAAAAGTGATAACCACACCTTGAACTGTACCCGGAAACCCCCTGATAACCAGTGAAGCAGTGGTGCAACATGGACATGCTGGGGCATCCTCATCACTACTGGCACCATTGCATTCTGGATCAGCTATTTAGCTTATTGAGTTACAAATTACTTGCTTATTTTTGCTTGTTTGCTCTTACTGCCTTGTACTTCCTATTGCTGGTATTAGTCTTTAGAACTAGGTGACCTTTGAATTAAAATGAAATTGTAAAATTGCCCTTGCTGTCTAAATCATGATATCTTTGGATTGAAACATGTATAATTAAGTGCCTCATCCCCAACTCTTGTTTGGAGTACAAAACTATTGTATTGATTAGCTGTATGATTATGGAATTATGAAATTGCTGTTAGCTAGTTAATATGTTTATAAGCTGTATCTTAAAGCACCATTGGTTGCCAGTCTTAAATTGCTATTGTTGGTTACAAGTTGCCCTACAGCAAACAGACATGGAGGTAAATCTATGCAGGACATGAAATTCCCATATGGGTTTAAATTATGAGTAAGGTGGTAATTTTATGATTATCAGTACATAGGTTATTACAGTATATAAGCTACTACGGTGACTGCTGATAGCAAAGCCTGAAGTTCACTGGATTACTTTTGTATATACTGTACTTATATGGCCATGTCAATATAATTAACTATATTAAGCAATCTTATTAGAATAAATTAGTCTGTGCCATAAGTAACAGTTTTGCTGATGTGCACATTTGGAAACTTGAGGTTGTGTCCTAGAAATTTTCACCACATAGCTATTAGGTGTTGATGTATACATTTACAAAATGACTGCACTGGGGAGAGTAACGAAAATAGTGTGCAAGATTAATATCCACGACTCCATTAGACTCCAGGATATCCTATAGCAGTGTAATTTAACTTTCTTATGGCAAAGTAAAAGAAAACTACATGCCATTTTATTTTATAAAAAGATGCCTGTAAATCCTATGAATAATGAAACCCTGGGGAACTTTTGGAAATAGTGGTTTTGGAGAGATGTATTTACTGTATTGGTTAACTTGATGTTAACCAGTTTTTGTTAACATCAATTTTGTTAATGTTCCAGTTTTTAAGTGTGAAATAGGTTTTTTTAAAATAAAAAAAAAAGATGGGAGATGTGTGCAAATACACTAGTGGGCATCAGATTGTGCATTTATGCTATAATCTAGCAAACTGCAAGTGTTTAGAGCTGATAAATTTATAATATGACCAGGCTTGCTAGAACTTCATAAAAGGGAAGTTGTCATATAGTAGCCTTTTGAACAGAAACAGTGAAGTGACTATGCAACTTTTTTCGTTGTGTGTTCAAATTCTAATCTATGATAAATGCACTATTTGTCTTCATTACATCAGAAACTACCTATTCTTGTGTAATATTTTTCTAGCCAATGGAAATGACAGTAAAAAATTCAAAGGTGACAGCAGAAGTGCAGGAGTTCCATCACGAGTAATCCATATCCGTAAATTACCTAGTGACGTTACAGAAGCTGAGGTTATTTCCTTGGGGTTGCCTTTTGGAAAGGTCACAAACCTATTAATGTTAAAAGGAAAAAATCAGGTAAGCCGTTTTCGGATGTCGGGGTTTGTTTGTTTGTTTACAAAATTTAGTTTAGCTATGCCAAAACTTTGGTTCTGTTTTGTTATTTAAAGGCTTATCTGTCTATGTGACAATAGAGACAGCTTTTTAAAAATTGATTTGCAGATTGTGGTTAGAAATCTTTTGGGCAAGTGCAATATAATTTTTTCTTTGTTCCTTATAATCCTTTACCAGGCTTTTATAGAAATGAACACAGAAGAAGCAGCTAATACTATGGTGAGCTACTATACTACAATTGCTCCTGTGCTCCGGAGTCAGCAGATCTACATCCAATTTTCTAATCACAAAGAGTTGAAGACAGATAATTCTCCAAACCAGGCAGTGAGTCAAAATTTAAAATACTACAGATTTTATACTTTCAAACGTGTTATACCAGAATTTGGACTTGTAAGGACAGGGAAACAAATAATTGTCCATAGGACATGTGACAGAGCCCATTGGAGTTAGGCAGTTATAACAGATTTGAAGTAATAAGTAAAATAATAGTCAAGAAGGATGGTTCGCTGGGTGAATATACTTAATCACTTCATTGGATCAGGTCAGAATCTTTAATGGGGATGTGTATGAAATGGAAAAGTGTATTGCACTGAAAATGAACTACCGTGCTTCAGTTTTGAATTGTTTCAGATCAGCCATAGTTTGGCATTGAGTGACTGCTTTTTTCTTCATTATGGGCAAAACAAAATAAGGATATGAGTGAATAAGGCTTCTGGTGAGCATCACAGTGAACTAGGTGTCTCTAAAGGAGTGGGGACGACATTGTGTTGGAGAACGGCAGCCAGAGGTGAATGCTGAGTCTCCAGACAAAGGAGGAATTGTGAGATCTAGATAATCTGACTTGTGGTTGAGAGAGAAGTTTTCTTTGAGACTTCGAGCTATCCCAGAGGTTTCTGCTGAAGGCATTAGAGAAAAGCTAATTAAAGTGCTGGCAAATTTTTGGATGGAGGACACAAACAGAAACCGGTAAATGTTTACAGAATAAACTCAAGATTTGCACGAACACAAAATGCTCCCTAGGAATGTTTTGGCTCATTTTGTCAGGCAGAAGACAAGGTTTAAGTTTTGCAGCATTTCACTACAAGATTGAAGATTGATAATACACATATAATTATCCTTAAAGAAATGCCTATCATAATTTTACATAAGAGAAAATACGTATTTTTTAACTGAAAGGTCAAAGCAGAAAAGGATTCCATTTTGATGTGACAAACTGGAACACTTGGAAAAAGTCGTGGGATTTTGTTTTTATGCATAACTTCAAGAATATTAGATGCACAAAGATGGAAAGATTCGGTAGTATACCATAATGGAGGAAAGTTGGTGAAGATAACAGAACTGCCTGAGATGGCCAATTGACTTTTTTTATTGAGAGTGAAGATGTTCTCTACATTTACAGCTGATTGGAAATCCTTTGGAGACTTTATGCGTGAAACAAAAAAAAATGACCTCTGATTTATATTTTTAATAATTAGGAAAAAAAGGATGTAACCATAGAGCAAGAAGTAAATTTATAATTGTATTTATAACTGCTAAACATCAGAAGCTACTTCTTGGAATCCTTTATTCCTTCTTTGTTTTTACACTGTTTTTTTCCTGTTTTTCATTTTCTTACTCCGTTAGTTTTTATTTTTATCTTCATAACATTTTTAATTTTATATATGTGTGTATTGGGATGAAGAAGGCAAGACGCCCGTTATTTTCTATCTCTCTTGTTCTTCTCTGTATATATTTATTTGTTCATTCATTTTGTATAGCTGCCAGTCTTGTTATTTCCAGTATGACATATCCCGTTAGACTGCCCCACCAATTGATGCTGTCACAGATGTCCCAGTATGGCATATTACACCAGTCCATCTATGGGTTGCTGTCTCTGGACAGCATGTCTCACCAACTTGACTGCCCCCATCTTCTCAGCCCCTTCCTCCCTAACTCCTCTGTACTACTGTTGTGAATGTCCTTAGACTCCCTCCACTCCTCCTATCCAGAACATTTTGATCTATGCCTGGATGAAAGCACCAGAAACCCGCATGTTTCCGTACTGACATGGACCATTTAAAATCAGCTGTTCTGTGTACTTAATCCACTGTCAAGATTTTACATCAACAACTGTGATATAAGAGGTCTGAAAAACAATTTGCATAGTATTTTCCTGATGTTAGGAAGTTACGGTCAATATTACTCTTATATTGCAAATCCAAAAATGACAGGCTGGGAGAAGCTTATCTGGGGATATCTAATAAAGCAGCATTAATAATAATAATAATAATAAAGTTAGAAGGGACCTTGGAGGTCATCAAGTCCAACCCCCTGCTCAGGCAGGAACCCTACACCATTTCAGACAAATGGCTGTCCAGTCTCTTCTTAAAAACTTCCAGTGTTGGAGCATTCACCGCTTCTGGAGGCAGGTTGTTCCACTGGTTAATTGTTCTAACTGTCAGGAAGTTTCTCCTTAGTTCTAGGTTGCTTCTCTCCTTGATCAGTTCCCATCCGTTGCTTCTTGTCCTGCCTTCAGGCGCCTTGGAGAATAGCTTGACTCCCTCTTCTTTGTGGCAGCCCCTGAGATATTGTAACACGGCTATCATGTCCCCCCTCGTCCTTCCCTTTGTTAAACTAGACATACCCAATTCCAGCAACCGTTCCTTATATGTTTTAGCCTCCAGAAGAGGGGATGGTTTTGTGTGAGGGGCAGGTGTGCACACGCGCAAGTAGGGCTGCGAGCGCTGGTGCCTGTCGCACGTGCCAGCCTGCCACTCAGGCAGCCCGGTTGTGAATAGGCCACGGCCCAGTATTGGGCCGTAGCCCACAGGTCGGGGACACCTGTAATAAAGTAATCCTTGCTAGAGGCAGTAATTTGGATTGGAGTCTTGTTTCAGAGCTGCTGTGTTAAATATGCAGGTTTTCCTAGGTTTAATGGGATTTAGTGGGCTAGACCTATACTACAGCTTTTTTAATTTATTAACCGTGGAAACATTGTATTGCAGCTAATCATTGTTATCATTATTGTTAAGGTGAAGCATAGGTAGTCCTTGGTTGACAACTGCTCATTTAGCACCAAACAAATAGTACTTAAACTCGTTGACAGCCCTGAACGAGTAGTACTTTAAACAGCCATTGCACTTAATGATGATTGCAGCATCTTATGGCTGTGTGATTACCATCTTCGACCTTTCCTGCTGACTTCCCACAAGCAAAGTCAATGGGGAAGCTAGCAGGTAAGGTTGCTCCCTCTCCCATAGTTTTGTCTTCCCTGGAGCCACGCTATAAGGAAGTTGCAAGTCCTGGTCATATGAGGCCCTCACTTAGATCTCCACTGATGGGAATGGGATTGCTGTCGCTAAGTAATGCTGTCACATAACATGTTTTACAGTCACATTGCTTAATGATGAAAATCCTGGTCCTAATGAACATGGTTAAGTGAGGACTACCTGTAGCTGTATTCTGGTTTCTTTTATGTTTGCATATCTGCACTCATTGAAAAACCCTTTTATCTTATATGAAGGAGCAAATAACTCGGCTTCTTATTAATAATTTGTCATGCATCATCCTTTCATAAAGGGCAGAATCCCAAGATAACACGCCTCTAGGATTTTTTCTTCTTCGTAAAATAGCAACTGAATGTCATATTTGAGAGAGTTTCAAAGAAAATGATCTTTGCTGTTATTAGATAATGGATACATGCTCCCCCCCCCCCCCGTTTCCTACTTTATTGACGCATTAAAACTTGATTCCATAGCGTGCTCAAGCAGCCTTGCAAGCAGTAAATTCTGTCCAGTCTGGGAATCTGGCACTGTCTGCTTCTGCTGCAGCTGTGGATGCTGGTATGGCCATGGCTGGTCAGAGCCCAGTCCTGAGGATCATTGTGGAAAACCTCTTCTATCCTGTTACTCTAGATGTCCTCCATCAGGTGAGATGCGACTTCCAGCTTTTCAGTGGCCAGCATGTGGCAGAGAACTAGTTGTGATAACTTGTGCCACAAGTGGCATGACTCCTATTTATGGTGTCTTTCATTAAACCTCACACTGTTTTTTCCCCTTGACATTTGCTTAGATATTACAGTATATTCTTACAGAGCATTATTTTTGATCCATCCTTACGAAATAGATTGGATTCTTGGGGTCCAAAAACTGATTTTGTGTTAGATCTAGATCCTCTAACTTTGCTTTCTCCAACCAAGTAATTTGACTGTAGCTTCTATTTTTACCATTTATCATGCTTACTGGGGGCTAGTAGGAATTGCACTACAAATCTTCAATTTGAAGAACATTGTTCTAGTTACTATGTGTAATTAGGGAAAAATTCCGATATGCCTTTTGGATAAAATCCTTTGGCATGTGGCCATGTAAACAAGAATACCTGTGTTCTTATCAGTTAATAAGGTACAATGTTGCTACATATATTAGACATTATTTCACAAAGGCTGTGGAACACTTTGGATTTAATCCCTGGAATATGTTTTTGAACATAAATGAGCTCAAATGTGGCACCTCTCTGCAATACCTTGAAACTGTTGTTTTTTGCTTAGATCACATTAAAAAAAATACCTTCAGATGTATTGATGTATCTTTTGTAGATTAAATCCAAAACACTGTTCGGCCATAATGCTTACATCTTAAAAAACGTCTCCAGTCTGTCTAAAATATTAGCAGAAAGCAAAGCACGGGGGGGGGGGGGCATGTTT